CACACACACACACACACACACACACACACAATGTATAAACTGTGCATGGACCCAAACAGTCGTCTGTGTTATTGCCTCAAAGATTTAAAACACACAAACATGGAGAGATAAATCTGGATATCCACCAGAACATTTTTGTACAAATCATGTTTATCTCTGGAAAAAAAACAAAACACACACAACAGAAATATTTGATTCCTCGTCTCTGACCTTCTTTGCACTTTGGCGTTAACGAGCGCTGCGGGCATTTGGATTTCACTGGAGAGACACGAGAACGCAGGTGTACGTGTTTATCCAACACATTCTGGAGAAGGATAAAGATTCTAAAGGCTTCAGGGCAAAGTGGAAATTACATTTGGCTTCAGTGAAACTCTGTAAGTGACACTGGTTCCTGTGTGTGTGTGTGTGTGTGTGTGTGTGTGTGTGTGTGTGTGTGTGTGGGATGTTTTAATGAAAAAGAATTCCACAGTATTTTTTGCCAGAACAACTTTTTATTGTCTTTGATTTCAGAACATTTGAGTAGAAAATATTTTTTAAGAAAAAAATATCTGATTTTTAAAAGGCAAAGTGAATTTTTTTTTTCTTCCAGCACCTACAAAGAATAGTACACGGTTACTGTGGTAACCCCCCCCCCACCACACACACACACTTTTAACCCTCTCACCACACCTGAACCTCTTTATCAGAGACAAATTTCCCATGAGGCTCAGTGGCTCCGGGCGGCAGCAGGGCCAGGTACACCGGAGTGATAGCGCCCTCGTCTGGTGACTTGGGGGCTTTCGGTCCAGCCATGTCGGTGCGCACCCATCCTGGACAGCAGGCGTTCAGCAAGATCTATGACAAAGTAAATTATAATAATGTAAACAACAACCCGTAAATTAGCCGAGAGGCCAAAGAGAGAAAAAGATACAAGGACATTTTCTTGACTCTAGAATTTACAACGTCACTTGTGATGTATTTATTATAAAACATCATTTGAAGCTGTTTTTATTTGATTGAAAGTCGTTGCAGTGATTACCTTGTCACTGGGTCTCTCCTTGGACAGACGTCGAGCCAGGATCATGGACAGAGTCTAAAAACAAGAACACGTTGACATCATCACTTCTTCTAGTTTCTTAAATCTTTGAATCCCTGTTTCACACCAACGAGTGTGATCTGAATCTCATCTGGTTTTTCCTGTAACGATAAATCCTCAGACGGACGGATCTTACCGTCAGGCCGGTCTTGGACACTCCGTACGCCGTCTCAGGCCAGCCGCCCGGCTTGTGTTCGTTCTTCTGGGTCATGTCCACGAACTGCTGCATCAGTCCCACCAGCTCGTCCTCGGTGATGTCCTCGCTGCGGAAACGCTCCTGCAGCGCCGGGCTGCACTGGTTCAGAGTACGAGTGCCGACGAAGCTGGAGACGTTCACGACACGACCTGAAAATACAAATTCAAACCTCGCGGTCACTCTCACGTCAAACTGATTTATCATCTTTTAGCACGTGTTGGTGAAGAAAACCTGCAGTGAACGACTTTTTTAAAAACTGTAAAGTGGAACGTTTGTTCAAGTCCAACTTGGTCCTCACCTCCTGCTTTGACGATCGGCAGGAAGTGAGTCAACATGTCTCTGGTGGCGAAGAAGTTTGTCTTCAGCGTGACCTCCGCCTGGACGGCGAAAGGAGCCGTGTCGGACACTGAGGAGAGAGGGAGAGTTTACATGTGACACCGTTTTCCATATTTATTTGTTCCGATGTATTAATATATCTCTTATTTTGCAAACACACATTTTATTCTATGACTTTATGTTTTAAATCCTGAAAGACTAAAGACTGAGGCTGATTCTATCAAATGAAACATGGTTCAATATGTCTGAGTCATGGTCACGGTGGTAATAATATATTTTAAAAGTACACGTGTGACACATCAGTGTGTAATTCTGATCTGACCTTTGAATGCGATCCCAGCGTTATTGACGAGGACGTCCACTCCTCCGTACTTGTCCTTGAAGTAGGCGGCGGCGGTGGTGATGCTGCTCAGGTCGTTGATGTCCAGCTGGTGAAACATGGGCTTCAGTCCCTCCGAGGACAGAGACGCCACGGCCTCCTGACCGCGGCCCCTGGAACGAGAGCCACACATTTAGTTCCACCTCGTCCACAAGCTTTATTTTGCACCATCATTTACAGGCTGTTAGTCTAATGCACAAGTTATTTATCTTTAAATCTGTATTTATATTTGGCTTCAAGTCTATCTATCTATCAATCATTCTCTCTATCTATCAATCAATCATTCTCTCTATCTCTCTCTCTCTCTATCTATCATTCTATCTATCAGTCATTCTATCTGTTTATCTCTCTCTCTATCTATCAATCATTCTCTCTGTCTCTCCATCTCTCTGTCTCTCTATCTATCTTTCTAACTTATTAAATCGTCTAATATAAATTTTGAACGACACCATGGTGAGGCGGACACATCAGCCTGGTGCAGGTGTTACCCACTCGTCTCTGGACATGAGGTACACGGCTCCTTGGTACTGTTTGCAGAGCGCTCGGACGATGGCCAGGCCGATGCCCTTGTTACTGCCCGTTACCACGGCGACCTTAGTGGACATGTCTGCACACACACACAGAGAGAGAGAGAGAGACATCAGTGTATGAACTCACATGTGAAATAGTCTTTATTTAAACATGTAGGAAACACGCATTAGACACACGTGCAGTTATCGGCCGTGTGAAAACAAACACTTCACCACTCTGTCTGGAAAAATGCTGAGTCACTTCCATTGTCAGCCATGTAGGAGGGCAGGTTGAAGGGAGATAAGATTTGCTTAGTCATAGTGACAATCCCAGGGCGAGAACAGTGACAAAAACAAATCTCACTCAGTTTTATGATCCAGGAAAACTAAAGCTAAAGTAACGAAACGTTTATCCACTGGAATTAAGATGATAAGAGCCGAATGTTTTAAAATGATCGGTTTGATGTGAAATCAGCTTCAAGATGTTTTTGACTGAGATATAAAAAGAGATTTGTTGAGCTGCAGCGACACATTCAGAGCTGTGGTAACTTTAGTGACCTGATACAAATGAAAACAGGTTCTGCAAGAGTTTCTGCAGGATTCTTATCACATGTAAGTTTATTAAATTATATTTATATATTATTATAAACAGCAGTAGAACAGACGGGATGTTTGCGTCAGGAGTTCCTTGTTTCATCGTTTTAAATAAAGTTGTGGATCTTTTCACCTGATTGCACAAAGCTGACCAGCAGCTGGAAGCGATTCACACGTTTATTCAAAGAAATGAAATAAATCCACATTGTCGCTGTGAACGAGTCTCTGGGTTTGACCCTGAGGTCGAAATGAAGGTTTCTTACTGTGATCTGAGGACGAGGAGCTGATGAAGACAGGAAGAGAGGAGAAGGAGTGAGGAGAAGAAGTGAAGAGCTGCAGGAAAACGACGGGAAAGAGAGAGAGAGAGAGAGAGTCTGCAGGAGGAGGAGCTCTGCGCAGCGTCACCGCGCACACCCGGAAGTAAACACTCTGACCACGTGGGCTGGAGAAGGCGTCGCCGCGCGGGGCCGATGTTTAAAATAGTTTCCAGGTACCGAACTTTTATTTGGACTTTATTCGATCCACAGTCACGTGACGAATGTTCTGCACTCTGTGTCGATGTGTCCGTGAGCGCGATGCATGACGGGAGTGTTTTAGGGTTTCATCGTGTGACCAGCACAGACGCAGTTTGAGCGTCAGTGAAGGTTTCCGGTGAAAGTTGCAGAAACAGAAGAAGAACCGACCGGTGTCAGTTGTCCAGTGTGTCCGGTGATCGGTGTCCAAACTCGGCTGCAGGACCTCACCTGCCCCGCTGATCAGCTCCACGTGTCACTGACACAAACACGGACCAATGTCTTTAAACGAGAATATCCAAGATATCTAATATATATATATATATATATATAATATATAATATCTAACTGTTAATGTGCTTAAAGATTGAAAAGGGAAAATACTTATTAAGACATGATTCATTCTGTTTAGTGTTGTTTCTATATTCAAGGAATATTTTAAGAGAATTGTTCAAGTTATATTTCAGGAGCAATTATACATCTGTGAAAATACTCACCAGTTTAGTATTAGTACTTATATATGAATCCAAATATTCTTCAGAGGAATATCTTCTTTTCATAGCCTCCATTACACGTGGACCAGGGTCCCAGTGTCTCCCTACTACTACTACTACTACTACTACTACTACTTCTACTACTACTACTTCTACTACTACTACTACTACTTCTACTACTACTACTTCTACTACTACTACTTCTACTACTTCTACTACTACTTCTACTACTACTACTACTACTACTACTTCTCACTTTCACCCACGTTTTCTTTTGTGAACTCCAAATGAGAAAATATTAAATTTCAAATTGGAATTGGAATTGCTTTTGTGTGTGTGTGTGTGTGTTCCCACCACAGGGGGTCACAGGTTCATGCCGTGTCATGACGGGTCGCAGCCATCGAGCTGGACGAGCTGCGAGGAAGAGGAGGCAGAAATGTGAAAGTTCCGTCCAGTCGGGTATAAAAACATTTGTCTCAGTCGTGTGTGGTGCTTCCACACACTCTGGAGTCTGAGGTGTCTCTGCTGGTCTCCTCCATCACCAGTCTCTCTCTCTCTCTCTGTCTCTCTCTCTGTCTCTGTCTCTCTCTCTCTCTCTGTCTCTGTCTCTCTCTCTTTGTCCCTTCAGTCTCTCTGTGTCATCAGCTCCAGTACGTGAGGCTCATGAAGTTTCTCCACCAACGAGGATTCGCGTCATCTCTGCTGCAGCCGGCTCTCTTCACCGGTACGACTCTGGTTTCCTACATGTACGACATGAACTCTGTAAAATGTCTATTGTTGGATAAATAAGTACTGAAAAGGATGTGATATAAATGTAGGATACATAATATCATGTACTCAATAAATTTAAATTTAATTATTTGCTGTGCTGTTTAAAAAGGTTCTTAAAAACGTGTGTGTGTGTTTCTCTGTCCGTGCAGACACAGGTAGAGGATTGCAGACTCTCAAAACTATAAAGGTGAGCAGGCTGATGCAGAAAAGAGAGAAAGTAGTAATAACATGGATTCTGTGATTGTGTTTTAATGAGTTCATTAAAACACAACCATTTAACAACGAGTGTTATTCAAGCTTAACTGACTCGTAATGACTTCTGCAGCAGAGGTTGATTTGGGAGCTTGTCACCCAGTCGGAGGGTTGTTGGGTTCAGTGCAGATCTTAATAATGTGTCCTGGACCGAGCGTTGTGCTTCAGTTGTGTAGAAACGTGATCTGTGATGTGTTTTTAAATCTCTTCTCTGTCTCAGCCCGGCCAGCTCCTCATTTCTCTGCCAGAGTCGTGTCTCCTCACAACCTCGACTGTTCTCATCAGCGACCTGGGGCCGTACATCAGGAGGTCAACACTCAAACACACCTGTTACACATCAGCTGATGTAAATCTTCTGTTTCCTGTTATACCTGCGAGATTCAAACGAGAGAATCATCCAAACTGTCTCTGTTCTCCTCCGCAGCTGGAAGCACCGCCTCTCTCCCCTGCTGGCACTCTGTGCGTTCCTCGTGCGTGAGCGGCACCGAGGGGAAGCCTCCGACTGGTTCCCCTACATCGACGCGCTGCCTTCCGCTTACACCTGCCCCGCCTACTTCACAGACGACACCGTGAGCCTGCTGCCCGCCTGCGTGCGGAGGCGGGCGCTCGAGCAGAGGGAGGCGGTGCGAGAACTCTACTCCTCCAGCCGTGGCTTCTTCGGGTGAGTTCAGGGCAAAGGTCGCTGAAGCAAGTTGCTCAGGTTGCGTGTGAGGACAAGTTTGTTTGCACAACATGTGACGTGACTTTCAGAATGTGAGTGGAAATATAAAACAGTGTTGGAGAATCAGTAGCTTTAGATAAAAGCTGTTTCAGACTGTAACGTCTCCTCCGGTGCAAAAAGAAGAACCGGGTGTGCCTGAAGGTGATGTTTGAAAAACGTATAGAGATAAAATATAACACGTTGTTGTTTTATAAATATCACGTGTAATCGTGCACATCTCTAAACATGTAATTCTTTAAAGGAGTTTAAACTGGAACTGATTCTTTTTTTGGTCCAGATCCCTGCAGCCAATCCTGAGTCGACCTGTGGAGGAGGTGTTCACATATGAAGCACTGAGGTACACACACACACACACACGCACACACACACGCACGCACACACACTCACACACACACACACACTCCAGTTGTTATTTTAGACGCTGATTAGCAGTTATGAGCCTTTCACATGTTGGTGTGTCCAGTTTGTGTTTATTTCTTAATTCACATTCTATATATTCGATTGTATGTACTTCTACTTTTTATTTATATTCAGTTACATAAATATTAATGGTTAAACTGTAAAATATCTCTTTCTTAATCAGGAGTGTTTGATAACAGGATGTCAACACGGCCAATTATTTTTAAATACACTTAAATCAGCATGAGCGGATTGATCGAGGTAGTAAATTAATGTGAATATATGATTTAATAAGATGTCGATCTCCTCCAGGTGGGCGTGGTGCAGTGTCAACACACGCTCCGTCTTCATGTCCCACCCATCCAACGACTTCCTGTCCGGACAGGATGTTTACGCTTTAGCTCCTTTCCTGGACTTGCTCAACCACCAGCCTGACGTGCAGGTAAACACACACACACACACACACACACACACACACACACACACACGAGTTTTGTAAATCCCATGAAAACATCGTTTTTGTGGTTCCAGGTAAAAGCGAGTTTCAATGACGAGACCAGATGCTACGAGATCAGGAGCGTCTCCGGGACGCCGCGCTTCCAGCAGGCTTTCATAAACTACGGTTCCCATGACAACCAGCGCCTGTTGTTAGAGTACGGCTTTGTCGCCCCCAGCAACCCGCACAGTGTGGTGTATGTGGACACAGGTACAGTGTAGAAGTACTGTTTGTGTATTTGTGTCTGAAGCAGCTTGTGTGTTTTGATGCTTTAGTTTTACTTCGGTAAAACTCTGTGTATCCATTAGTGTAATTAAATACTGACGACCCTGAGGTCATGGCCTCTGTATTTAGAGGTGGAGGTTTATTAATTTTCAGTAAATCAATAACCAAAGCCAGATTAATGATAATTATTAATACATTTAATTAATGTCTTAATACAATAAACGTTTCATTTTATAAGTGAGTAGATAAAGAGACTAACGTTTCTATAGTTTCATTTTCTACCTGTTTGTTTTAATCCCTCAGATCTTCTCTGTGACGTTTTAAGAGACGACAGGAGTTTGATCCCGAAGATGAAGTTTCTTAAAGAGAACAACCTGGTTCAGTGAGTGATTTTACATTTTCATTATGATTATGTATAAACACTTTTAACACACAAACCATGACAGCTCAACTCTCCTCCTCTATTATATGTTGCTCAGTTAGAAAGTTTTCCTGCGTGAAAGTTGTGGAGAGTTGAGTTTTTCATTTCTCTCTCTGTTGCTGTTCTCCTCCGTCAGTAACCTGACTGTGTCCAGCGACGGCCTCAGTTGGAGGCTGATGACGGCTCTCAGACTGTTGTCCATGCCACAAACACTGTAGTAAGACACACACACACACACGCACACTCACACAAAGCTCCACATGATTGTTCTGCTTTGACTCTGTGTGTTTATCACAGTCACCAGTGGAAGGCAGTGTTGCTCGGCCAGTCGGTGTGTGAAGAGAGGGAGGAGTGGAGCGTCCGCACGGCCGAGACGCTCTGTCAGCGACTTCTACAGGACACACAGGCAGCTCTGGATGAGGTGTGTGAACGTGCACACACACACACACACACACACACACTCCTCCCAGTGATGCAACACACGACATGATTTGTGTGTGTGTGTGTGTGTAGATCTCCGTCCTGCTGCAGCAGTGTGACCAGTCTGTCAGGGAGCAGCTTGACGTGGTCCAGTCACTGCGACTGGAGGAGAGGTGCATCCTGGGACGCTGTCTTGAGGCACAGCGAGGCACGACGAGACAACTGGATGAACCGTTGCCGTGCCAACCTGACGTTGACACCGTGAGCTGACCTCTGATCGGTGCGCTTGCCTGCTAGTTGCAGTTTCTGTCGATATCACTGGAGTAACTGGAGACGCTGGTCAGTCTCCATGTTCCTGCGCCGCTGGTCGAGCAGTGCGGCTGACAGAGTCAGCAGGACGTCCTGTGATCGGGTTTGATTCCTGGTACGCTGCGAGACAGTGAGGCGCTCACCACCACCGCCATCATTTGAGGAGAAGGTCTCTGATGCAGTAACTGGAATTACTCTCGTTTCCCTCTGGACTCAAGTTAAACAACAGCCAGGAAACAGAGGAAAACTACACAGAGGCAGAAGTGTTTTTTAATTTAATCATGTTTTTATTTTATAATGAAATGGCACAGTACTGTTCAAGAGTTCAAATGTTCAAGTAAAGTAACATCACACAACATTTATTACGATTCTTGTTATGTTGTAAATCTTTAACATAGCGAGATAGAGTGAGATAGAGCGTTAGCGCTGGCGGAGGAATGTCTGGGAGCGTCCGTCTCGTTTAAAGTTTGTGATGATGGAGTTAATTATAGGTTTGTGGATTCTCAGAGAAATAAAAGGTGACGGACAGTGATCACAGAGATCTGGGTCATAGTCACATATTCACAGGCTGGATGTGAGAATTAGAATAAGAATGTGTATTTGAAGGAACCCCCCCCCCCTTCATGTGAGTTTCTGTTTCTCAGTGATGTCACAGTGATGAAGGGACGACAGGTTTCTCTCCTCTTTCTTCCACATGATATCGGTTCACTTGGTTCATTCATTGAACTGTTGCCTCAGATCTCAGCAGAGTTGAACAACAGCTTTTTTCTTCTGCTGACGCTGGACGGTCTCCATGGCGACTGTGGCTTCGTAGAGAGGAACCGCCTCCTCCGGCTGAGGTCTGCGGACACCGAGTGAAACCAGACACACAGATTGGATTTGATTAGATTATAGTTTGTGCATCTTTGTGGGGGAGACGATAAATCTTCACCTTTGGAGGTAACAGCGACGACACGTAAAAACATCTGCAGTGACTTTTGTGCGATGATCTTAAAAGTTTTTCAAATCCACCGTGTGAACTTTATGATAAAAGACAGAGGCGCTTGATTTTTACCTGAGAACTCCAGCTGCCATCTTCTCCACTATGTCCTTCAGAATATCTGTGAGTGAAGGTTGTTAAAGACCTTAAAGCAGAACGTGTAGGAGCTTGATCGTGTGCGTTACGTTTTTACATTGAACCCTCGGAGCACGCAGAGGATACGGAGGTATCGTCCTTGCTGAGCTGAGGAAGCCGTCCACACTTCAGGGTTGAGGAACGACACAGAGGCTGACTTTAGATGCATTAATCTGCAGTCTGGAGGATCCAGCTGTGAAATACAAAGACACGGGTGCTTTCTACGACGTAACGGCTTATTGGGAATAGTTTTATCCTGATATTCTAAACCTAACATGAACCTTTGAATTGATGTGTCTGACAATAACAAGTCAGTAGTTAACTGTAACTCAGAGACAGAGATCATGTGAGATACAACAGTAAAGATGCAGCTTCGAGGTCTGACCCCCGCTCACCTGCAGGTCTTGGTGGGACGTGACCCAGTGCCCCCCCACTGCCAGCGCACTGATGATGTCATGTTTGTGCGGGTGCATCTCCTCTGACTCCTCCTCCTCCAGCAGATGAACTACGAACACAAACAGTCACAGCAACGTGCTCTGGTGTCAGGACGGTTTAGAACCATTCAGAACCACCGTGACGTATTTAACGTTTAAAAACATCAGTGTTGACCGTGTGTTCACCTCCTGAGTCGATCACTATGTCCACCCCCAGTCCTCCCGTCTCCTCCAACACCAGCGGCAGCAGGTCTGACGAGCCGTTATAGACTGGAATCACTCTGGCTTCAAACACAGACACGTGATGTCACGAGCGACTCTAGTCAACTCAAATTAACAGACTTAAAACTGAAAAAGTTCATTTTCTATACACCACGTGCCGTGTTTCATTTTTCTTCCACATCAATCTACCTTTTATACAATTAGAATAACAACCCAACCATTTCTATTCATTATTTTGATTATGAAAGTAACATATGATTTAAATGCTGCAGGAAATACATAACATATATATATACTGACAATTATGCAGTTAAACAACCACGGTTTAGTAAGAGTTAGAAATGCAGCGAGGAAGCAGGTAAGTGTTGATGGAGAGAAAAGATCTCACCTACTAAAGGATCCTGAACACCTGAGGACAACATGAAGGCGAGGACACACACAGAAAAGATAAAAAGGTTGAAATCAGAGCAGAAGCATGAGATGATCGGCAAAGAGAAGATTTCTTTTACTACAGCTGCTGTGATTTTGTAGAGAATGCAGACGGAGAGAGGTTTAATACAGATGTTAGAGCTACGGAGCCGTACAGACCCACGCTGGGTCGAAGCTGCTCCAGGAAAGTGTGATTTTGCGGCGAATGTGACGTCGTCAGAACCTTCACTCCGTGGTAACAGGCCAGCTGGATGCACATCAGGCCAAAAGACTGAGAGGGGAGAGGAGACAGAATACATGAACACTGAAACTCAGGCAACACTCAAAGTCTTTTTGGTATTTATTTATAAAAGGAGGAAACACGAGGAGGAGAAGAAATACAGCAAAGGTCAGATGACGCATTTTAATTTTGATTCTTTAGCTGTTTTATTTTCTTTTACGTACACTTGCTCCATCCACGACCAGGAGTGTGTGTCCGGCTGCCATGTGAGCGTGTGTGTGTAGAGCAGTGTAAGCACACAGGCCGTCACGCAGCGCTGACGCAACACTCACAGAGCTGAGCTTCTCTGGCTTCTGAACTGGACGACAAAAAGAGAAATACACACACATGTTTATTGAATCAGTTTAATTTCATTTAGTCTTCGTGACATCACGTTGTAGCTTTGAGAGAGATGACTGTCGTGTTGGGCTTCACAGGGAGGAACTAGGAAAAGTGTGTGTGTGTGTGTGTGTGTGTGTGTGCAGTGCATTACCTAAATAGTGTTCATCTATATCAATGACGTCACAGAGTCCAGAGCAGGGAGAGTCCAGGGGAAGCACACCTGGAGAGGAGAGGTTGAGGTAAGACGTGATAACAAACTGTACATTAAAGTAAGTGTAATGACGACTGCTTCTATAAAGAGATTATAAAATAAAGATTCTTACCGACAACTTCGTCCTCAGGCTGGAAAAACGACACCTTGGGTCCCACTGAAGAGAGAACACAGACAATCACACCAGTTAAACCCCTGCTGACCCCAGGTCTGTGAGGAATCTCACTGTTTGCATTTTTACGACCTTGCAGGACGACCCCGGCCACGTCTCTGCCGACAGGAATTAAATCTCTCTGGATGCCGACGTCAGCGAGCAACTGTGAGCGGTGAGGAGACGAGTCAGCAGTGATTCATTTAACCGTGTGATTTAAGTGGAATTACACGGGTCAGTTAGGTTAAAAGTACCTTGAGGTCCAGTGGGTTGAGTCCACACGCCTTCACCTGAACTCTGACCTGATGGCTGCCTAACACGTCTGGAAGAGTCTGCAGAGAAAGAGCAGGACACAAACTGTCAGACAGAGAAACACAACTTGAAACCAGGGAGAGGTTAACATCAGCTGCACGGACAAAAGTTAATACAGAAAAACAAAAGCTCTTTGTAAGACATCGAACATGGATCATTCAATCCTTTCTCCCACTGAAAAAACAGCGTCACACACAATCTACCACAACTGATACGATTTGATCCGTGTCGGAATCAGACATCACATTTAAACAAACAAAGAACACATTTAAACACAGACACAAACAACAGAAACATTCAAAACAGAGACACACGTTCAAACATTTGATAAAAACAGACACATACAACATGTCTGTAATCACAGACTGTAAATAATCTGTGTATCTCCTCTGTGGTGTTGATGCATCAATGAGCAAATAACAACAAATGAAGTGCAGTTGAATAGTTTATTACTGATGTAAAAACCTGATCACTGGATCATTTATTATTGTCTGTGAATAACAAGTCTTAACAAATAAGATGTCAAAATAAAAGCTTTATTAAAACTTGCCACCATGCTCCACAGCTTCAGATGAAACACTGACAGCTCGTGTCTG